GCTGCTTGCTCAGCCGCCATCTCCCATAGGAACCACTACTTCCACCTATTCTGTAGTGACATGTCTGACTGCAATAGACGTCTCCTTGCCTCCGCCCGTAACGAGTGTAAGCGTGTCCTCAAGTCACTATTTGCGGCTCGGATGAAGGAGCGTATTGCATCTCGCAAATTTGGCTCCAAAGATTATTGGCGTCTCTGCAAGTGCGTATTGAACAATTGCAAACCCTATATACCTCCTTTATTCAACCAGTTCGAAGTCCTGACCTCCTCTACCGACAAGGCTGAATGCTTTGATCGGAAATTTTCATTCAACTCGACGCTCGACTCTTCCGGTGTACCCCATACCCGACTTCTCTCGTAGAACTGAGGCCCTATTGAGTGGGTTAAACATAACCCCGTATTTGATATTGGGCGTTATCTCCAATTTAGACCCCAACAAGGCTAGTGGTGGTGACGGGATACCAGCTATTGTCTTGAAGAAATGCGCGCCTGAATTGGCGCCCGCCCTTTCTAAACTATACAACTACTGCCTCAAGGAATCTTGTTTTCCTGACTGCTGGAAGTCCTCTTCGATTGTTCCTGTCTTCAAGAACTCCGGCGACCCATCTGACCCTTCTAACTACCGTCCTATCAGTCTTCGAAGCCCTAATCAATACCGAGGTGGTTAACCACCTCACATACCATAATCTGCTCTCAGACAAGCAATATGGTTTCCGCTTTGCCCGATCTACAGCTGATGTGCTTACGGCCATCACTGAAACTGTCTACCGAGCTCTTCAAAATAACGGGAAAGCCCGTGCCGTGGCACTAGACATCTCCAAAGCATTTGATAGGGTGTGGCATGCCGGCCTTCTTCGCAAGCTCCATTACGGGTCGATTATATAACCTAATACAATCATTCCTGTCAAACCGTGAATTGAAGGTCGTTCTCAACGGATTCTCCCCCAGTTCCTATCCCACGAACGCAGGTGTTCCTCAAGGCTCCATCCTAGGCCCCACTCTATTCCTTATCTAAATAAATGACCTTCCTGACGCCATAAATTCCCAAGTTGGCATCTACGCGGATGACACCACAATTTATTCCTGCCTGAAAAACAAATCTAGTGTCACGGACAAAACTAACCTGACCGTGAGTCTCGAAAAGGATCTCCAATCGGTTGTGAACTGGGGCAAGAATTGGCTGGTCAACTTCAACGCTTCTAAAACAAAACTGCTCTCTATTAATCACCACAGAGATCCTTCCCTGCCCTCCATTAGAATGTCTGACGCTCAACTTCTCGAGAGCAACTCTCTGCGGCTGCTCGGTCTCACGTTGACTGCTGACCTGAGATGGAATAAATACATTGAGTCAATTGCTTCGTCCACCGCAAGGAAAGTTGGCTCCCTGTACCGCGCCAGGAAATTTTTCTCCCCGGAATCGATCCTCCAGATCTACAAATCAACAATTCGCCCTTGTATGGAGTATTGTTTCCATATATGGTCTGGTGCCCCTTCTGTTTACCTCGGGGTTCTTGATAGGCTCGGGCTTCTTGATGCAATGTAGTTGGCCCTGCTCTGGCATCTAGTCTACAGTCACTTTCTCACAGACGCGCCGTAGCCTCCCTCTGTCTGTTCGACAAATACTTTCATGGAAATTGCTCCGAGGAGCTGCATTCGCTGGTTCCCAGACGTCATGAGTTCAAGCGCCCTACGAGGATGGCATCCCGCTCTCACTCCTTCACTGTCGAAACTCCTAAATGTAGCCGTCTCTTCTACTCCAATAGCTTCAAGTCTCGCACCTCTTGCCTGTGGAACTCTCTTCCCTATTCCAGTTTCCCTGAGAGCTATAATCTCCAGCTATTCAAGTGTAATGTCAATCGACATCTCCAGTTGCCTTGATATATCCACTACCCTCCTCCTCATCCTTTCTTCTATCACTCCTATCTGATCTTGCTCTAAATTTTCTGTAACCCCTTGCGTCCTAGTGGCTTCCCGCCTTACTTGGGGTGAAATGTTTAAATATATATATATATATATATATATATATATATATATATATATATATATATGTGTGTGTACATATTTTTATGAATGTATATATAAATGTCCCTGTATGCATGTGTGTTTGCATGCGTGAAAATATTTGGCTGTGTACTTGTAAACTATTAGTATAAGTATGTATGTGGGTGCGTGACGAGACGGATGAAAGATAATAATGTTGGACACACAGGTACTATCTGAGATGGCTGTCAAGTCGAACCAGAGGAATATGTCGTTCGCAATTTATTTCTTCGCGCCCCCCTACACCCATCACATAAAATCCACGTCTCCATCTCTACTGCACCTCACCTACCAGTCATCTTTTCTCCAACTAGTAACCCTAAACAAACATTTATTTCTGCACAGCCAACTTATTCCTATTATCAAATCAAACTTTCCCTGTCTTTACGCGAAAGTTTAACATTAAATATATTAAACTGAATGGACAAGAAATATCTGTTAATCCTTTTAGTGGATTTCTACTGGTGTCGAATGAATCATTTGATGTCACTTGTAAAAAAAAGTACCGTTTTAATTTCAGCGAGAGCGGGTTCAAATCACTTTGAAGTATAAGGTCATTTTTTCCAAATGACGCTAAAATATATTCCTCACTTATAACATATGAATCCACTTTGGACATTTAAAAACATGAACGCTATATTGGCAATTTTTCAACTTTCTACCTCTTTCCGTGTAAACAATCAAAGGTGACCGAAAGAAAACACAGTTTCGGCAAGTTCTTTTGTAAGGTCCCACTCGACATCATACAACATATTCAACAACAGAAGTTCACCAAAATGCATAACAGATATTTCCTATTTGTTTTATTAATTTAATCATTAAATCAGTACCTGGGGAACTGAAGCAAGCAATTGCCATTCACTTAGATGAACTCGCAAAGTTTCTCGACAGATAATTCCCCACCAGAGAGTTATATTCAACATGGTTGAGATAGCCGTTCATGTTGAGTGTTGCGACAACAGATACCTCGACAATATCATTGAACTTTAACAGAGCAAGGTTCAATAGCACCTCTTCAGAACAATAACACTCTCAACGTTTTAGTGTCACGAAATCGTAATCTTTCCTAGCAATAAGAGTGTACCTCTTATTGCTAGGAAAGCCTTTGGGATATTCCTACCGTTTGTTGCGAGCAATCCTTTTCGAGGATGGTAGACATGAAAACGAATAAAAGAATAGACTTTGTTGCAAAAATAATATGAGAGTGACACTTGCCAAGGTGAAGCCGCACATTTCTGAACTTGTCTCTGAAAGTTACATTTATTTGCAGTAAATATTCATTGAATTATGTTTGTTTGTTTGTGTTTGTGTGTGTGTGTGCGTGTGTGTGTGTGTGAAATTCATGTTTTGTTGGTTTTAGTCTTTGAACATAGTGATTTTGTGTGTACCTGATTCTGATTTTGTGCACAAATATATACTTACGTTTTGAAGAAATCATATTTTAATTTTTCCACTTATGAAAGGTGCAGTGAATGCACAGAGGAAACTTGCTCGATTTAGTATATCCAAGATGGTTAAGAACCCTTGGTTTAATAGAATATATTTTTTAAGGAAAACCTGCTGACTATATATATATATATATATATATATATATATATATATATATATATATATATATATATATAAATATATATATATATCCTCATATATAACCCAATAAATCCATTCCACATAATGGTGGCATTTGCTAGATGAAGACACTATTGCCACTAATGTCCTATTATTATGTGGGGGGTATTTTTTCGTAGGGGGTATATAGGATGTATTTTTGCCGTACCCTGTATTTCAATGAAATAGTGTATTTTTTTTTTATATGCCATATTTTGGCACATAATTTATTATACTTCCTCAAAATTTCTTGTTTTTTATTTCTCTAGATAACTTTTGACTGTTTACCATCTTTCTTTGTATTCAAAATATTTAAGATCTACAAACGACAGGAATTTGTGGAGAGCCATGATCACCGACGCCCTGAAGAATACGGCGCATGGAAGAAAAAGTAGTAGTAGTTTAATCAATGTTTGTCTTTGCTTCATTTGTTTTCAGTATGTCCTGTGAATGTGAAATTCTCCAAGCCCTCTTTAGTTCCTGCTATGACGATAGACTAAATCCAGCAGAGAGGCCTCTTGTCGGGAGATTGGAAGTTTTGAGGAGCGTGGAACCATCGCTTAATTTCTGTTCTTTACAGATCACCCTGTCTCGGGATTGTATAAACTCTTAGGGACCAAGACAAATAGTGAACCCCCAGACAAAATCAAAACGCTATAAAATTATACATTTTTTTATAGTAAAATTACCAGCAATACCTATTTATGGAAGTTTATGCGTGGAAAACTTTTCAGCAGAGAATTCATGATATATTTGCCAGATTTTTAGTCATCAGTTTAGGTTACAAGTTGGTCTCGAAAGACATGGATATTGATTTCAATCATAGAAAATATGCGCATGTTCGATAGCAGTCGACAACATACACTCTTAAAATTGATAAATATTTACGTTTTTAATTTCTATTTTATCAATATTTTACGTATTTTAATTACTAATATTACAGGAACAATAAATAAAGGTACGTCTTATACATCATTTACAATCGGAGTAATATCCTCAACCTTGTTGTTCCTCTCACAACGGCCGAAATTGTTATGGCGGTAGCAGTAAAGATGAAGACACTGATTGATTCGTTTTCTAAGGCTTATCAACCTTTTGGAGGTTATTTAAAACCAGAAAAATAGTTTCAGGTTTTAATAAATTTTTTGAGGGGGGTGGAAGGGGAAGATAATAAAGATTTAGTGATAAAATTCTTATTAATTAATCCATAGCTGGGGAGATAAGAGATGAATTCATACATTTCCCAAGAGTATTTGCGCGTCAGAGAATATAATCAATCCATTCGGAATTGGAACTCGGCTCCCTGATTAACAATTCCGAACTGCTATCCATTACGACATCCACACATCCAAGCTTACAGCACATAGTATTCCCAAGTGGACATCCATATAGGTACTGACATGGATCGACGTTACTTAACTTCGGAGATCGTACAGGAACCAGTGTATCAACGTGCTGTGGCCGTAAGCATGACGATATTTCTCTGGCTATAAATAATATGAATAATTTTAACTCATCAGAGGAAAAATTAAAAACAGGTTTTATACATTTAACTCGTGCTGATCCTAATTTTTTAAATATCTAACCACTACATATTATTCTTCTGTGTGTCGTGACCCTTCATGTACATGGGCGATCATGGCTCAACATAACCTCTAAGCCTTGTAGCTCTTAGTACTGTTTGGATTTTCGTCATCACTCTCAAAATTTGTCATTCATTTACACAATCTTGTTAGGTAGTTTCCTTTGTTTTTCTTGCCTTCAGTATCTTGCATGTGCTTGATTCTCCAAACCCTCTTTCTTCATAATGTGCCCTACAAATTCCAATTGTCTTCCTTTATCTCTAAATATAATCATCTTTTTAGTTTCCATTTTCCTTCAAATTTCTTTATTTAATGTTCAGACCATGGTATTCTCAGCATCCTTCTGTAGAATCACATTTCCGTTGTCTCAGTTCACTTCTTTATCTGTGAAGAAATCACGTCATATATACAAACTTAATCAGGAACTCGAATTCAATATATTTAGATTTAACAGGAAAATATTCTTTTTTCTGTATATTTTGCTCTAAATTGAAAATATTGCAAGACTTACATTTTATCCACAGATCCATCAACAATCATGAACCGTTTTCAGTCAGTGTGAATCATTTGACATGTTATAAGATCTAATCTACGAAATCTCTTGCTCCATGCAACGTTGTTGGCGTCGTTCATATCAATATTATCTTCCGTTTCTATCTCCCGTTCATATCTTCATTCAAAATCTTGACTAAGTTCTTTGTCGCAGCCGTGTCGGGCCATCGAGTTCGAACCAGAGACAAACGGCAAAACATACTTAGATATTACCATTAACTCGTTTCTTCCATTTGTGGAGTTCATCATCATTATTATTATTATTATTATTATTATTATTATTATTATTATTTCCTTTCATTTCTGTTGTATACACATTCATTCCGGTCCCAATCAGAAAAGTCAGAAATAGCCTCATGACATTTTTCACTGATCATTTGTTTTACAAAAATAACCCTAAGATCATTCATATTTTACATAAAAAAAAGCTCTTCGTAATGTATGAGCTGTACATGTAAACACAATTTTTTGTATATTTTTAAGGCATTATTATTATTATTATTTTCGTGTCACACATTGACGTAGTCAATGAAAATTCTGTTCTTGAAGCATTCCCTTCGTATTCCGTTGGTCAGATGTAAGTCCCACTCGAGCAGCTTCTTCCCACGAACGACTGTCTTGTGGAACGAACTCCCAATAGGATGCTTCCTTGATCGCTACAATCTTAACCTATTGATGTCTGAGTTTAACCGTTATTTTCTACATATACTTGCATAATCTGTAACTCTTACTCTCTACTTCGAGTGGCTCTCGGGCCTTGGAAAGGGTAAATAGCATTGTAAAAAAAAAGAAGAAAATATGGTGTTAGCAAGGTTGCTCACAACTCAAGAACTTTTCGAAGATTGCACGCATAATAAATTATGTCAGTTTTCTAGTGGTCTACAATCTTGGTCTCAATTCCAGTTTTCCCTAAACACTCTTTCATTTTTCTCTGTTTAAACATTTTCTATGTTCTCTTCTTCACTTCAGCAGAAGTAGGACAACAAACGGATCCACTCTGTTGTGCAATGGACCAACTGCCGGGCGTAATAATTCGCTCTTGGTTCTAGTCTCATTCACGCCGTTATTTCAATATTTTGATTGGATATTTCATGATTTAGGGTTGCACAATCACCAGCGAATTTATCGATATTCAATCTCCAGAAAAGCTGCCGGCCAAAGGTAAAGAGACTCTCCTGCCTATGAGACAGTTATAACCTATATAATGGAGATCTTGGGGTAATAATAATAATAATAATAACTAGCAGTATAGCCCGGCGTTGCCCGGGGATGTAACAGTAAGAGATAGATCAAGTATCGACCATCATAAAGACTGAAAAATAAAATTGACAAAGATTATTGTTTAAGGTTGACGGACACACATGTCTTAATTAGTTTTGTTTTGTTTTGTTTTGTTTTTTTTACGAATTGGTCAAACCCAAAGTCAAACAAAAACATTGTTTTCAATCGTTATGAGTCTACCGATTGAATAGAATTTTATTATAAACAATTGTCTTGTAAATGGAATTTTTAAAGCATTCTGAATGTAAAAATAAAGAAAAAGTGTGCAAGACAATAAGAAACAGTTTTATTGAAATCGGTTGAAAAATGTAGGAATTCCGATCCCATATATAAACGAACACACACACAGACACACACATACACAAACAGTCTGGGTTTTATAAGTATAACTCGATATGAGTTTCCCCACTTTCATTCTCGCGACAGTGATGCCTCTTAATCGTGTTTACAAATTGATTTCGTGCAAAAACAATTGTGTTTTTTCCAATTTTTGGCGCTGTCAGAACCACCGCAAGGTAATTTTACGTAGTCCTGTGAAGTTTAGTTAAAATCGGTTGAAAAATGTAGGAAATCCGATCTAATATATAAACGAACACACACACACACACACACACTGGGTTTTTATACACACACAACCTAAGTTTTATAATAAGTATGATGTATGTGTATGTATGTATGTAAATATGTACGTATATACAATGTACTTGTGTGTGGATAGGGATCATATTGACTGCCCCCTTTTTACCCATATCTCTACAGGGGTAGTAAACTAGCAATCTTCTGCTTTTTTACTGACTTCTCTTTGAGTGAAAACTCAAAATTTATTTAGTGGCTAGCGGGTTGAGAAATGACCTGAAATGTATTTATTTTTTTCCTTTGTCTCTACCCTTTTTTCCAAAAGAACTCTTTGATAACTTTTCCACCAAAATGTAGTAGGGTTGATGGTTTACCCTATAAAACTTGATAAGTATCACTCATTGGCGTCGGAAGGTAGAACATTGGAAAGACACTTGTGCGATCCTCTCACAGTGCAAGTAATCGTAAATTTTATACCGTTTTTAAATGAAAATTTTCCTTTTCCTTGATTCATTCTAAGTTTCTTTGATTTTATTTAACTTTTAATTCTTTCATTTCAATTTTAAAACTTAGTAAAATCAGTGCCATGTCTATAAGCATATGCTACCCCACTTAATACAATACTCATTTATAAACACTTTAACTGTAGATATGCGAATTAATTCCCCATCCGTACTAATCTTATTGGTTGTTTGTGCTCTCAGGTCTTCTTTGAGTATTGTCGTAGAGCTGGTAACTTGAACATAATTACTCCTTGGCGGTCAAAGTTAAAAGGCAAAATCCTACGAATTTCAATGAATACGAATAAAATTTCATACCAGATCGGTCGTCCCCCGGGTCAACAAGGGCCGCGTACTTCAGAGAGCAACCAGTCTGGGACCGAAAAATCTGTCACTGAAACAAACTCTTCCAAAAACGAAGAAACACTAGGTTACCAAACCCGAACTATTCCCAACCTTGGACCAAATGACCTCAATGTCAAATCAACTAATAAAAAGAAAACGAACGAAATGGTCTCGAGAGGAGTATCAACACGTCATGACATCATTTTTCACTGAACTCGAAAACCCAGCAAAGAACAACACGAATCAGATTTACCAAATATGGAGAACTATGGTAGGAAGTGATATAAGACTTAACATAACCCAAAAATGCTTGCCAATGTCCGCAGGAACATTGTGCGAAACAAAAGACTTTCAAATGCAGAAATAGATATGATAAAATTAAATATGACAGAATACTATAACCCATCACTTAAACTGTAGATGAAAGTAGAAATAAGTAATATGACAGAGGATGAGGTAAAAACTAAAACTGATGAAATACGGAATAACCTCCCGGGAAATAAAATCGAAGAACCTACCGGTGACATAATTGCTGTTTTCCAGACGATGTCACGGAAGATGTTTCCAACTACATTAATTTGGATTTCTTTGAAAACCACAGAGCTGAAATCACCGAAGCGAAAAACCACGTCATTCAAGTACTCAGCAGAGTAACCCTCACACAATTGTCACACTGAGACCAGCTCCCAAAAATTCATATGACGAAGTCCAATAAGCACATTTTACAAATATACAACGCTGCTCTGGAAACTGTTAACGGATAAACTACCGGGAATTATCACAGAAGTTAATAACATCATATACGCAACATCTTTAGCAGCTACTGGGGAGCTTGGGGTCAAGACAATGAAAAAAAAATAGCATATATAGAGATCCAGCTTGGAAGGCAAAATTGCTGCAAGAAATGAAATATGAGTTTTATATATTAGATGAGCTCAGTAAAAATCCAAATATCTCCAAATGCCAGAAGATCAAGTGGAAATATAAAATTAAATCCCTAATTAAAATTACATCAATCAAGGAAATGCTGAAACATAAACTTCAATTAAAGGCACAGAGAACAAGACGATACGGAAAACGTGCAGGTTCTATCGCCAAAATAAAATATTCAAAACGGACCTTAAGTAACTTTACAGGGAAATTGGAAATCATATACATGTCGAAACGCCACCATCAATTGAGAATATGTAGACATTTTGGGAGAATATTTGGAGCAGCCCAAAGGAATATAAACCAAATGCAGAATGGATCCAACGCGAAGAAAAACGAATGTTGGATACACCTATTCAAGAGTGGGAAAATAACCACAGATAATGTTAGGCAACCTCTAACGAAATCCCCAAAATGGAAATCACCGGGAAATGACAAGGTGCTCAATTTCTGGCTCTATCGTCCCTCATCAATCCATAAAACCCTTGCAAAAACTATATCAACGCTTGTAAATTACCCCAAATACATTGGATCACTGAAGGTATTACATATCTCATGCCAAAAACGAGTGAAACAGATGATCCGAAAATTATAGGCCAATAACATGTCTCTCCACCACGTAGAAGGTGATCACGTCTGTCCTAACGAACTGAACTTACTCTTTCTTCGAAGTAAGCAACATTCTTCCACTAAAATGTGC